ACATGTGCTCCCAATTCCTCTGGGGTTTCTCCAAGAGGAGTGCAGGAGTGGGGACAAAGGTTATTTCTATCCTTTTGTTCTTAGTAGTCAGGTCAGTGACCTCATGTCTCCAATCTGGCAGTAAATCAGTCAAGTTAGTTTCCTATACAATTTGGCAATGATTCACAATGTCCTTCAGCCAAGTCAGTGATACTGTTTGGTAGTAATTAATTCTCATGTTTTTGCAAATACGCTGTTTTCCATAAACACGCGTCTATAAACTACAATGTTCTGCCAAGAGCATGCCTAGGTGGCATCGTGACGTCCTGACCGCAAAGTGTACGTATGCACAAAAATCTTCCTACCTGGCTGTATTAAACACACTGTCTAGAGGCTGGACATGTATAGATAAACAGAACAGACCATTTGTGATAGATTTTCTGACGAACCCTGTGACAATGACCTTTAGGGATAACAAAATACCAGGATGTGTGACCTTTAGGGATAACAAAATACCAGGATGTGTGACCTTCAGAGGTTACAAAATACTAGGATGTATGACCTTCAGGGATAACAAAATACCAGGATGTATGACCTTTAGGGATAACAAAATACCAGGATGTGTGACCTTTAGGGATAACAAAATACATGTACCAGGATGTGTGACCTTTTAGAGGTACCAAAATACCAATGTATAATGATTAAAATATGCATGCACTTAAGCTTCCTTCACAGATTATCCGAGTAGCTGTGGAGCTTACCGAAAGTGCTATATAAAACAAATTGCAAGCTTAGCAACCTGACTGCTTGATTCCTGTAAAAAGTTGGGCTACATTCATTGCAGACAGTTTATTTGTAGAAAGCCATGACTGGATTCTCAGTGCTGTTCAGTTTGAATTGAAGATAATGGTGTTGTGATAGCTTTCTCTGTAACTGGATGTAATTAGTACATCATTTAATGACCCCAATTAAAAAATAAATAAACTTTGAACTGATTGCAATGCTTCATATAAAAATATTAATTAATAACAAGCTTGTAATATTATTATTACCCCGAATCAATCCAGTGTTTCTCTTGTACTTTTCAGCCCGGTGCTATTATTGGTATCGATTCTGAATGGCGTCCAGCATTTGGTCCTATCTGTGAACCCGTCAAGTAAGTCATCAATGGATACAGTTGTAATAAGTACTTCTTAAAAACTGTCGATTTTGAGAAATGATAAATTTATCAATTTTTCACTCTTTTTTTTCATAAGATAATAATGAGCACAGTGCAAAATATTTGCAAAATAAAGTTTGGATCAACATTTGAGACTTATTACCATGGCAACTTGGAAAAATTTGGGTAAGGTCTGCAAGAAGTGTATTTGACTACCTAATCCTGTCAGTTCAGTTCCATTCACCGATTGGCAGCCATTTTGAATCAAAATTTGTAAACACGTCTCTGAAACAAATAGGGTGGATTTGGTTCAAACTTTGATTTGTGGCAGTTTTGTTTTTTTATTCATGTCCATGGTAACTCCTCTCTAATATATCACCTAATTTAGTTGAAAGTTTTCATACAAATACTTTACTCTTAAGTAATACTTAAGTAATATTCAAAATTCTAAAATCACAGTCTGTAAATGTGGAATCATTTTTTGCAAATGAACAAGATTCGTGTCAGGATCATACTTATTGGGTTACATGTGCATGTCATATTTTTGTTTAGATTGAACAAAAGTTAGTCAGCTGGCTATTATTTGAATTTTTATTATCCATGCTAGTTTCTGTGGCAGTATGTGTGATTATAATCACCACATTTTGTCAGTCATTTATTCAAGTCATGAAGCCCTTTGGTATTTAGATCTACATGACTATTGGTAATAACTGTGCATTGTCAATGTTTGCAGTTCGCAAGTAGTCCAAAAATGGGGACTTGTGTCCTGCAGTCCAGTCCAAGATGGCCGAATGGCAGCTATTTTAATGCTGAAATTCATCAAAATGAAACAGTACTATTTTTTTTTTTCAAGTCAGATTCAAAATAGCCGAATGCAATGTTTTTAGAGCCATGTTTCTGACATGCATTAACCGATTGCAATTAACCTCTACCACGTCATTTGTTTCATGTTCTGTTTGAAGATTGCTGACATATTTCAGTTTTGTTTACTATCGAACTGACAGGGACCTGTTATATTATGACATGACCTGTTATATTATGGGAATGTGGATTGTTTATACAGATAAAACATGTGTCCATGTATTTTTATTTTCCAATATATTGTCAAAGTTTTTAATGATTTTGTTATAATCAGTTATGTTGTGCTTTTGTTTTCTTCTAGAGTGAGTTTGTTGCAGCTGGCATCTATTGATGCTGTGTTTATTTTAGACATGATGACCTTATCGCAGTGTGTTGACGTTGACATCTTGAAAGATTTTATGTTGAAATTGTTCACAACCCATGATATCCTAAAATTGGGTAAGTTTTATTTACTTAATATGCAGTGACTCCTCGCTAAGTCGCGCCTCAGTACAGTAAATCGCGATTTTGGCCAAGTCGCAGGTAGTTGGATGGCTCCCAAAAATTTTGTTGTTTTGCCAAAGGTTTTGAAGTAAAAGATCTAATGTTTTGTTGCATCTTGTATTTAGAGACAACTTAACACTTACTGTCCATCAATTAATGAGATACAAAAGGGTGATGGTAGCCTGACTCAAAGTGTCAACGAGCTGTCAAGTCGCAACTTTACGTACTTTTCGCTCAGTCCCCCTTTTGATATAGCTCTTTAAAACTCGCTACAATGAGTTGAATCCATCCGGACATGGATGCTGTGAAGTTTTTCAATAAAGAAAATGTATTATAAACCCATGTGTGTATATGTGCTTTTATCCATTTTCGATGCATGAACCTCTCTTTCACGAAGCCCCTCGGTAAATCGCGAACGCCGATAAGTCATGGTTTTTGCTTGGATCCTGACATCCGTGACTTAGCGAGAAGTCACTGTATTAAAAGTGGCTACAGTGACCGTGTAGGACATTTTTTGCCACCTCTACAAAGATCACACAATTGTTCTAACATGATTTGTAACCTTATTTTGTCTCCCAGGTTATGGTATTGATGGCGATATCAAAATGTTGTTCAAGTCCTATCCTTTGATGAGGAATGCAGCCGACTTGCAAAGAATTGTAGACTTAAGTGTGCTCACAAGAAATGTAAGTACACAACAAGACAAGCATTAACCTGAAGTGAATACCTCAGTTTGAGTGAGCATGCTACAGACTCCAGTAGGGATGGAGTTCAAAGTAACTGGCTGAGTTTCATTCACTGATGGAAGTGATGATCATACAATCCAGATTATAGTCCCAAACATTTAATATTTCTGTGGCAGTATGCTATGTGTTACAGTCATCATTTGCATTTTACACAAACAAAAAAATCAATGAGAGACAATAGTGTTGACATTCGATCAGTATTGGGGACTGTCACCTGACGTAAAAATATTTGAAACAAAACTTTACTTGTAATATCAGCATATTATTTTTGCAAGCCCTTTAAGGCAAAATGATGTGCAGAATATGACATATGCCAAATCCATCTCCACACGTTTTAAAGTCACATGACCAGGTTCAAGATACTGAGAAACACATTGATAGAGAATCACAGTTATGAAATTGTAAAGGACACAGGAATCACTAATACTGTAGATTTCCTATTCAGGCCTCATCATGCAATTTTTTATAAAAAAATTATAATTTAATTGTTGGTTTGGCATGGCCCTTACCTCCTTTTGAAATCTTACACAAAATAAAGCTGCATAATTATTTTCATTTAAAAAAAAATTATCAAAACCTTTAGCTAATAGTAAAATTTGTTCATTTTGGACAAAATTATGAAAAAATATATAGAAAAATACGTAACAATTTATAAAATGTTGCATCAAGATTTGGCGGGAAAAAAAATGTTGGGTTCAAAAATATTGTCTCATTGATATTGTAAATACAATGCAAATCCAACAGATACAGAAAGAGTCACCTGAGTTACTACAGAATAGCAGTACAACTGAAGACGCGAGTGGTGAAGGCAGTGGAAAGAAAGGAAAAGAAAAAGGCCTCAGCGAACTCGTACAACGCTGTCTTGGAAAACCTCTGAATAAAATGGAAAGACTTTCTGACTGGGAAAGGCGGCCTTTGAGACAGGCACAGCTTATATATGCAGGTATGTGTTAAGACCCCCTAACTTTCTCCAAAATCTTCAGCTTGTTAGTTCAGCAACGGATATTAAAAATTGTGGCAAACATCAAATTAAATAGAATGTTTTGTTCAACGTATCTTGAGGCATTATGTTGTGTCCTGTTACGTAAGCTATAGCGCATCTGGTATCAAATACATTCTCAACAGACTACTGTTAGTACTCCGTTGCCTAGACTTGTTTTTGTTTGAAAAATGATAAATAAATATTGACAAGGATTTATACGATGTAACTTTCATAAACATGTGCGGTAAAGATCTCATGTAAAGAAAACTCTCTCGCTTTGCAAATATTTGGAGGCCGATCATACTCTAGCCAGTAGTGTCACAAATCGCATTGGGAACCTGAAAATTATCGCTGCATTAAAAATTAAAATGTATCATATGTTATGCAAATAAGCAAGAAAACAATTTGGGATGAACACTTGTAAGTTCGTTACTAATCACTAATTCTAATTATGATTTCTAGTAATGTAGGTTAGTCATGTGATTTTGTGATCATACAACGTTTTGAGTGAGATCTTCATTGTATATCACACCTTAGCATATTAATTGTGAATAATATTAATAATTTTTTATTGAATCATTGTTGAGATATAGATAAAATTACAATAAAGAATACAATTGTAATAATAATAAAAAACACAGAAAATTCATTTGAAATAAAAGTAAAATAAGTACATTGCATAGATGGTATGAATATTAAAATGAAATGTTTTTTACTGTAAGATAGTTTATCAAATTAATTGTATCAAATTAATTCCAAATCAGCTAGTTTACGTTCTCGTGTGAGTTGCATAGGCAGTTCTTGTTTTGAAATTCGTCTATCAAAATTTTAACATTTTCTTGGATTTTGTCGGTGCATGATGTAAATTGTTCTCGAATATTTGAATGTAACCTTGCACTTTACGGTTGAAATTGCATTTGAATCCCAAGACATCGACGAAATAATATCACGAGTAAATGTCACTTTGTTCTTGAGAGTTTTTGGTTCAGCTTTAAATGGAGTATGTTAGCAATGCCTAAAGGAATTCTTAGTAATTTAAGGTTAAAGTTCAAAGGTTAGTGTTAATGTTTTGTGCATATTCACATTGCATGATTGTACACTGTTGGCAGTAAAACAAATATTTTAAATAAACTGGCAAACCTCTATCACCTTACTGAATTTTGATACAAATGGACATAATTTTGGAGACACATGTGAAAAAAATCATCAAGGTTTTATTTTGTAAGGTGACAAAAGTTGACTCCCACACTCTAAGGGAATGATTATCGATTTCTCAAATTCTCAGACAAATATCAAATTTTAAATGGTAATTATGCCAAGATATTCTAATAATAAAAATCCATCTGATAGAAACAGCGCCCTATATGTCTGTGTTTTACTATATCCCCAAAATGTAAGGCAGGAAGATCTTGCCAAAACATTTTAAATTTGTCAAAATACAATCATTTCACAACATTTATTTATAAAACATCTTGTAATAAATATAAATACGTTTTTACTTTTTTGTTATCACTTTAGCATTAGATGCTTACTGCTTATTGGAAGTCTATGACCATATTAGGAATAAAGTGAAAGAATCAGGACTGGACATAAACCTTGAGCCGCCACTGCCGAAAAAGACTCCAAAAGTTAAGAAAAGCAAACCTGATGGTGGCAGTGAAGGTGGTGGAAGTACTGATAACTCAGGAGTTGTCAAAGCAAGCCGTGCCCCGCAAGTAAGTTATTATGACCATCTATTTTCTGTTCTCTGTTATTTGGTCTACTATGTGGCTAAAGTAATTTTCGTCTACTCATATTTCCTATTCGAGCAGCTGTGCATCAGTTGAAAATTGGTTGTTTTGGTCAAAAACTGTGTGGTCATTTCTGTTTGGGTAAGTTTTTGTATAATGTTCTACGTACAACATTAAAAGTATTCAACTCTTCAACATTATTTTAGTTTGTTGATGACTTTTAGGTGTTTGTTGATTAGGATTATTTCTGCAACAGTTTTGATCTTTTTTTAGTCCCTGTTCATATTTGGCACATACATCATAAATATTGTAGAATACATGTCCATGTCAGTTTGTTCATAATCAGATCAAAGATGGCTGTCTTGTTTTTGACCATACTACGATATCTCCAAGGCTTGTCTGCTTGTACTGCGTTTTCCAAAAAACAAAAAGTATTTCATATTAGGGGAGTTCAAAAGGCTATTTTGTCTAGGTTGCAAATTTTTTGGGGGTTTTCAGTTCTTCAATTATTCTATTATCCTATGTGAAATATCTTCTTTTTTTTGCAAACTTTGCCAATTTGGAAACACATTACCAATAATGAAGATTGTGTGCAAATACACCCTAAATGTTGTTAAAATACACATTTTCTTTTTGTTCACCCAGAGACCAGTAATGTTGCATCACCAGCCAACAGGTCCATCCATTTCTCCAAGCGAGTTCCATGTTGTATGTGATACCATGCTACAAGGGCTTGGTAGACAGCTCAGGTGCTGTGGTGTGGATGTACGGATACTAGACAACACAGAGGAACATGACAAAGCAGCCGAGGTGAGTCTCATGACAAGCACATGTCAGTCACATGTCAGGCACATGACAGGCACATGACAATCATGTCTCGGCCACATGTCAGGCACATGACAAGCATGTGTCAGACACATGACAGGCACATGTTAGACATTGAGGTTTGGATGTGATACCATGCTTCAAGACTTTATAGTATATGCAAATGTTAAATAAATTATACTTGTTTTTCAGATTGCCCGAAGAGAAGGCCGTGTGATACTGACTTCAGGAATGCCATATCAAACAGTATGTAAATTCAGTTTTCCATCTTTTGTAACTTCTAAGACATGTATCTTGTACATCACAAAATTGTGAAAACAGTGAAACATTCATTGTCCCAGTGCTATGTTTTATAGTGACTTATTAGTTTCTGTGAGTGCTGTAAAATATTGAATTGACTCGTGCATATTTTGACATGAACACCATTTCAACCGATGAATTTCAAGTGTTTTAAGATGCATTTATCTTCACTTGGCGGACTTTCTTAAAAGTTGTTTTTTTGAGAGCATTCATAGAGCTATTATGTGAAATATTATGTGAAAAATTTGAGATGATTGCAGTTAAAAAAATTTGGATCCACCTCTGGTCTACAATATTTAAATTTGGAATTGATGGCAAACTTTGTGAATCCACATATATTTGAGCACTGTTCAAAAACAAAATTCAATGCACCACTGTACCATGTATTTCTATGGGCTCTGCGCGAGCTGCTGTGGAACGCCGGTCGAAAAGCTGGTGAATATAGCTGAATTCAAGAAAACAGCACAAACTCAACTTTAAAGTAAATTTGAGCAACCAAATTGATACATGTTAGACATGTTGGGGTAATCTTGTTACACTGTTCGTGAGAGTCTCAGCAACCATCCCAAAGTACCATTTTCTGAGAGTATTCAGCCCTTGGTTTTCATGCAAAGGCTGCTAGGCAATGAAAATGCTTTGATATCCAACCCAGAGAATAGAAAGTGAAACAATCCTCTATCCACATAGTTAAGGAGCTGCCCTCTCTGATAGATTTCTTCTTGTATATTTTTCAAAGTCTGTAAAAAAGTAAGATTGTAAAATATGTCACATGTCAATAAAGTGCTATAGACACTTATTGAGTTCAATTTTAATGCATTATTGAAGGACAGAATACGTATCCAGTCAATATAAGCTCAAATCCTGTCTTGCTCAGCAATGCCCAAATTGTGAATAGCATCGCAGAAATACAGACATGGTTAGGTCTTCTGATAAAACGATGCAATACGCAACCTGTATACCATTTATTTCCAAAAATGACTAAATACAGCGGTATAGGAACATGGATAAAACAGAAATTGAACGTAGATTGCTCCTCATAAACATAATTTATGCATAACATTTGGATATCGGCGGTATCACTGTAACATCGAGTATAACGATAATAACTCCAAAAGTAATAATAGTATTAATGTTATCGACATACTTGGGGTGCAAGAAAAAATATTAAATACAACAAGAGTTCAACTGGAAATCAAGTCCAGAATGCGGAGGCAACATGAATTCAATAAAATTACCATGTCGTTTATTCGGTGTTATTTACTTGTTTAGTAATAGATAAGTTTTGAATTCCGTCGTTACCTCTGGTGTAAAATTTCAACGCATAAATGTTTGAACAAATTTCGCAAACTAGGAATCAATTCTTGCACGTAAACTGTCTGATGTCGCTATAACTCAAAACTCGTCTATTGAACAACATTTTGAAATAATTAAATCTTTCCATAATATTTTCACAGCTGCGTTCTCAAGTCGGTGAGGGCATGTGTTTTTGTGTCAGCAATAGAAAAGCCAAACACCAAGTAAAAGAAGTACTGAGGCATTTCAATGTGTACGTAGCAGCTAGAGATATCTTTAGCAGGTGTCAGGTAAGCGTGTGATTATTTTGAGATGACCTACATCTGTATTGGCTGCAGAAACCACAACAACAACCATGCCGTGCCACATTTGATATGGGACAGGAAGTCAGCCATGCACTACAAGACCACTGCAATGATTTAAAACCTTTTAGCGCTAAATTCAACTTTTGCCACAAAATAAAATATATTACGTTTTTCACAATTTTTTTTTCTCAAAATTTTGATCAAGACATGTAACTATAAGGAATTCTGTTAATTTGGTCCAAAATAATAAAAAAAAATACTTAAAAATGGTCAAAAGTGTTGTACCAAAACTATTGCCACCGTTAACAAAATAAAAAATATTACGTTTTTCATAATTTTTTTCAAAATTTAAGCTAGACTAAGGAATTATGTCCATTTGGTTCGTAATAACTTTATAAATTTAATAAAATTATGGAAAAATATCAGTACATAAAAAATGGATAAAATGTTGTACCATAATGTTGGCAAACAAAACTATGGTATTGAAAGTATTAATACTATGTGTGATAGAAAGTGTTCTTAAAATTCTTATTCTGAGTCATTTTTCAAACTGATTGAAATATTTTTTTTTTCATGAGCACAGAATTTTGCAGCAGAATTACAAACTAAACTTTCACAGTCGGTAAACAGATTGTACTGGTTTTTAAATGTACCTTGCCCGCATCATCAAAGATGGAAGGTTGAGGGATAATAAGTGAAAAATTTCTATCCGGTGTTGTCTTTGTTGTCGTTGTCATCATCGTTAATAATTGTTATTGTGTGCACAATAACTTTACTAATTCTATCCCAAACTCTATCAAACTTAGTCATCTTATTTGCTATTTTCACTGATAAGTAAAATTCGCTAAATTGAGTTCAGTTGAACATGTGAAATAACAATAAAACTTAGTTTGTGAACTTAAAACCCAGTGAATATGTTCAAAACATCAAAATAGTGTAAATGCCAGTTAAAAAAATGTACGGATTTACATGATTCACCTTAGAGTGTATATTGAAATATTGAATACAGATTAGTATAAATTTTAATCACAGTAATTAATACACTGAAGTCAATTATGGCATACATTCTGTAAAATTATTATAAACCTACATATTTCTGAACTCAAACAGCAATTACGCATTGTACAATGACTTGAAGTTGGTACCGTCCAAGCTAGCCAGTCATCTCATATGATGTAGATAAGACCGATTCCAAATGTAATATGTTAAGCTTATAAAGTATAAAACATGCCTTTGTTGATTTCAGTGTATCAAATACATCGTCATTGGTAAAAACGAGTGACAAAGCCAATAATAAAACAAAAATCACAATAACAACAAAATGCAAATGCTAAGATCATGAAATGTTGTCAAAAATCAGAAAGTGATTGACATGATTCTATTAAGATAAAGCTGAATTAAGATAAAGATAATTTGATTGGTACTTTTTTTTTAATCATTTTCCCTGCTTATAGCCCAATAACAGTGTATTCACTGTAAACATCATCTTCACAATGAAACAGTTTATTTTCCTTATTTGGAAATCTTTCTTTACTTTCACAGTGGAACAGCCAACTTGCCTTATTTGAAACAATAGAACAGCCTGGTTTCCTTATTTTTAAATCCCACCTTCACAATCCAAAAGCCAACTTATTTGCCTTTTATGGAATTCCTACTGTGAAAAGTTGCAGATATCATCAAATTTTAATATCATACTGCAAAACGTTCACATTTATATGTCGCCCTCTTTTCATTGCAAGGGGTTTTTCATTCACTTTACTCAATCTTAGCTACTACATATTCTCCTTACAGACGCCTTTTAACAAGTACTGCAGAGAGCGTAGATTGAAAGGAATTTTGTTTATTTTCTGGAGTTTATCACTGCCTTTAGCCAACAAACATTACACATCCCAAAGACTCAACAAGTATGTTTATTATTATTGACTGTTTTGCAACTCTGTTTTTCTCAATCATTTGAACTTTTAGTTGTAAAACAGCATGTAATTTACATGTAAATTCATTTTCAAGGTTCATGTTTTGGCATAATTTTGTACATTTTCATTCTATGACTGTTTTGCAACTCTGTTTTTTTTCTGGATTTATTTGAACTTTTGGTAATCATTTGAACTTTTAAATTTTCGTTCTATGATGCATAAATATTACCTTTTTTTACTGTGTTTACAACGACTACATGTAAATTTGATGTACCCAGTCATATGATTCGCTGTAACATTGCACGCAGTGATTGCTTAATCTAAATATACCAAAAGTTTATCAGAAGTCACCAAAGCAAATGACACTAGAAACGTTTTGGCTGATAGTGGTTCGATGGTTTCAGACAGATTGTAAAGCTGTGTGGAGAAGTAAATATCAAAGATGGCGGTACATGATTATATTCCGCTGCTGCGTTAACAACTACGTATACAGCGAATCGAAAATCTGCACTGAACTTGGGCAGTTGCTTCAATCACCCCAATGTATTGATACTCCACTTACATCGGTTAAAAAAACATTTGCACTCATTCACTGATTACAGTTAGAAATGTTTAATCTCAGATTGAATTCAGGTCATACAAATAATCCGGCCGATGCTACAGCTAAATATGCCGTGCCGCCAGAGATCATGAACAATATACAGTTTGTATTGGGCAGTGTAGATTGAATACGTTTGTGCGTATGTAAATGACAAAAGTATTTGTTACTTGTGTAAGCACTTTTGTAAATGATGACTGCGAGTCTATGATCATATTCAATAATCCATTATATGATAGTTGTAATTTTTGGTTTGTATGCACTTTTATTGGAGATGTGTCTTTAATAGAATAAATGTGGTATAGTCACGACAGTGCTACATGTATGTCTGGTGTCCATTGTGAATTATTTGAGTTTTGGTTTTGGTGTCTTAGCTACCCTAAAGAATGTAGATAGATTTGATCATAATTGTTGGGCACTATGATTTTTTTGGAGATATGCTATCCAAACATGTGTAGATAACTTTTTTGAAAAATTACAATTTAGGGGTTAATTTTAATTTTCTGTACAATTTACCACAAAAATGTTCCTAAAACCTATTTTGATATACTGTATTTGCTCTATTAGAAGCGCATAATTAATTAAAATATTACACTGCCCATAGAAAAATCTCTGTAATTTATGTAAGCACATGTGGTACTAATAGAGAAAAATACGGTATTGAATTCAGATTTTGTTGTGATCATTATCCTCCCCTGCCTGACTGCTCGCCCTGTTCAAAATGCAAAGGAAACTTTGTTTTACCAGTAGATGTAACAGTTGTATACTTCTTTTAAATCTAAGTTGCTTATACCGGTATACGTTTTTTTTGTTCTGTAGGTGTGCAACGGAAATCAGTATATAACCATTCCAGTGGACACCATGAAACAAGCAATTGCACAGAAGAGGAAGGCGAAGGACGTGGACGTAGACGGAGACCGACTCAATGAGCAGCAATCGTTGGAGTTAGAGCTAATAGAAGGCACTGAGAAAGCGTACGACATTCAGCGAAAAGACAGAGCGATTGAAGGTAAGGAAATCGAAGGTGATGTGTCATGTGCAGAGCCGAATGATTGTGATTCAGATGAAGAGATGGTTACCGAGAAGACAAGTAACTGTAGTTCGATAGCATCACAAAATGTTGGTGCTGCTGATAAGGTTGTTAAGAAATTAGATGTTGCGACAGAGGAAGTGAATGATGAGAGCGACAGTGACGATGACGAAGATGACCAGGTGATGGAGTCTGGACTTCTGTGTAACCAGAATAGTGACAGCATGGCGATCAATAAAGAGACCTGGACACTGGAGAATGGGGTTGCGATTCAGCTTGATCGAATACACGATAATGTTATCGAGGAAGTGAACGAAGTCTACTGCTGCGTAGCTTGTGGTAAATTAGTATGGAGAGGCAAGCACTTCCGACGAATTTGTAAATGTTTTAAGTTCGGCCGTCAAACTATATCTAAATAAAGCCATTCCAATAAATTGGAATACTATATTTTATGAAATTCATAAATATGTGATTAAATGTTACTGTAAATATAGATTTTGTATATTTTCATAATTTGTGGGAATGGAAAAAATAATTTGTTTAAAATTGAATTGTTTTCTGTAAACATGTTATTTCTAAATTTTAAATGAAAGTATGTAATCAATATTGAAATGAATTGCTATTTTTTTAAATGTACATTAATTTAAGTTTTATTTAAATAATACATGTAGTTTTTGTACTGTAGAATTTTTTTTTTCTTGGAGTCTATTGTTTGGTGAAATAACAAAAGTTAGAAAAAACACTACAAAAAAGATATGGATATCTGGATAATCAGCCATGCTAGACTTGATTAATATACTTGTACCATTATAACTGTTGATTTGATGAATCACATCAAGCAGATATTATTGTGTCAGAAGTTAAAAATGACTGAATAATCTAGGATGGATGCAGTTCATACTGATGAACTGCTACTACCCAAGCTTCTTCCGTCTGTTCCTTCGCTTCACTTCCAAAAGACTCCAGTACATTTGCTGTACGGTTCATGTGCACTGGATAGGATAGGGGCGTGCTAATTACTGGCATTTTTAATGAGTTAATTCTTTATTCATGTCATTAAAACTTCCTTAGTTGCATAAGTTACCGGAAGTATTCGAAAACTCAATTAACACTATCGTCAATCGAGTCTCACAAATCCTGTCTCCAAAAAATTTCGATTAATTCTCCATTCTATATTTTGCCTAAATATATCGCACAATGAGTGGAAAGTTTAACATTGGGTAGAAAGTATGTTTTTGTTTTGAGTGTCTGTCAATGTGTGTCAAGAAATCCCATCATTCAAGGGAGCTTGCATCATTTTTGGTTGTCTTTTGCAAGTCGTGGCAACAAGTTATCATTTCCAGCCAAAGCAGAAAGTCATTCAATACATGTTTTGATTCAACGCAAGTTGCATAAACATATACGATGGTAGTCATCAAGAGATATACTTCGTTAAAGGTGCCAGTGAATGATATTTTATTAACAACCAAAAGACTCCAGTTTCCAGGTGTTTTATTTATCTACCGACACAACAATCTCAACATGGCTAGAGCAATTGTACATTGATTTATCTGCGTCTTACGAAAATGTAACATCAAGAAATAGAACAGTAAACGCCTACGTGATCCTGTGGTGTTGGTAACACTTGTCAGTTGACAAGTATGAGTATGTAATTTATTAATCATTAATTGTTACTGACATCACGTTTTGCATGAGTTGGTATTTCTCAAAGGCTGAGGTATGCAAATTTATAGTGGGCGAACAGGAATCATATAGCAACTATAATGGAGTCTATTTTCGGTAGCGAAGCCGAGAAAAGTAAACTGCTACAACGTTGTTGGTGGAAGAAACATAACATTCGCTTATCTTCGTCGTTTCCATGTCGCAGCTGTGTTTTCATGCGTTATTGCGACTTTTGTCAGAACGATGTTTTGAAATTGTGTAATTGTTATAATTTTGTTTTTGTTACACTTTGTAAGTTTTATACAATGGTAAAGGGTCTACAAACTCAGGAATGTACATTGAATAGGGTATGTGTATTTTACTTCCTAATGCTACTCCTTTTCTAAGGAATCCCAGGCAACGCAGTCAATTTTTCAATTTCTAATATTGCCCTGATACAATTTGTATTATTATTTTTAAAACCATTTTGTAATATTTCAGTGCATTGATTAAAACTAGTTTTAGTCATTTTCCTGATATTTTTTTTTATATTACTGCGATGATATGATCAATAACTATTTTACAAAATATGTGCATAATCTCCTCCTATGGATAATCTAAATTTGTGATTATGCACATTGATACGAGCGACATTAAAGATAAATTCATGCAGCAGTCTTTCTCCCATGTTGCCATGCCAATACAAATCTCGCATTGAAAGAACCCATTGGAAAACAATTACATTATCTAAAACCTGAAGTCCAGATTAACACCACAGATGAGTGTACCAATGAGTGTTATTGATCTGTAGTATTCTCATATGATGACGTACAGTGTACACCACAAACCTGTACTTTAGTCTATAAATGTATTTATAAATACCAACCCCCACGACCTTTCATTCAAATTTAAATATGTATTTTGATTGGCTCAAAAGCTCAACACTGTCTTGCATGCATACAGCAAACGTGCGTCTTAGGTCATATACAAGTGTGACATAGTGTCTGCAATCACCAACTTATTCAAATTAAATCGTTTACTTATTGAATAATGCTAGTAATATATACTCTATATGAAATCACAATACAATTGCTGGATTGGTGAGTTGGACTGCCAACAGTCATTTTTAATTTAGAATATTTTATATTTATAAAACTTTTATTACGTCCACATTTAGTGCATGTACTGTACTCGAGTTGTGCAAGAGTGGCTATTTGTCAGTTTTTATAAAACTAGACATGTCTAATCATCGACTAAATCGATGTAGCAATGGATGTTATATTATATTTCTCTGAAAACAAACATTGCAGACTTGACATGCATTTATATCTGATGTGATAATGTCAACTGTTGTTGTTGGTTTTCTTATTCCACCGTTGTTGAAAATGCATAGAGCAAAAGATGTGTTGCTTAAATTGGCAATTTTCTTATTAAGCACATTGAGAAGTTTTTTAACAACTTTCAACGAATTTGGGTTAGATTGGACATGAAAAACTTGTTAATTTCATTTTCTTAAGACCTAAAGTTCTCTTCGCATGCGTCCAAGGTTACTGTTAACTAAGGCCTGAAAAAAAACTGTTTCTGGTCAGCTTGTTTTTCACTTTAATATTTCACCACTGCACAGCGCCCTCTGTTGACAAAGTGATGAAACCTTTGTGAACCAAAAATCCCTTCACCGCCCCATTTAACAGTTTGAAATTTTTTCGCAAGTCCCAATATGGCAACGTTTTTTTTTTTGTGATGAAACCTGTGATGAAATCACTTCATCACTTCATCACTCCATATAGCAAGAAACGTGTTTTTTTTTGCAAGGCCCAATATTACAAACTTTTTTTTTTTGAGACTACATGGTAATTCATTAGCTTATCTAGTTACAGTGAAACTTTTCTAAATAAAAACATTCTAAATGTGAAGCTAACAAAAAGTTCTTTGATGTCACCATAGAAACTGGTGCTGGGTATGTATCTCCTGAAATTGTTGCCAAAGGAAATCGCCAAGAGAAAGCTGATGTAGATCTGGTTACCATGGGAGCTGATTTGCAAAGTGATGTCGCCAAGGAGAATGTGACTCCATTTAAACTATCATATGGCATTATTAAAACTGGACCAAATGAAGGGGAGGGAGGCATATTGGAGGAGGAGGAGGACGACGACGACGACGAGGAGGGGGGAGATAACACAAATAGTGAAGTGTTACTCATGAACCGTCCAGCGAGACCTCCGTATCAGCCACAGTTCTGCAGATCGGCCGAGTCGATGATGATCAATACAGATAACTGGACACTGGAAAGTGGTGTTGAGATCCAAGTTGATCGTGTTCCCGAAGGTATTTGTGATAAAGTGGAGGTGTTCTATAGTTGTGCTTCGTGCGGTAAAGTGTTTTGGGAGGGCAGACATTATGTTCGGGTGTTTGATCAGTTTGAGCACGTTCTTCACAAGGACGATTAGCGACTATGTTAATTAGTGTTTCCATAGAGCTGACTTTATGACAGTAAGGTAGTATGTAGAGTCCAACAAATTTGTTGCTCTCTGCAGTACGTGATATACTTCCCTTTCAAATTATGTTCGAAATCATTATACAGTCAGTATTTATTCTATTTTTAATCAAGCTGGTGCAATTTAAGGGAGAAAGTATTTGATGGTTCAATGGTTTTAGAAGTGGAACCCATAAAACATGCATCAACATACATAAACATATACAGGTCAAATGTTCTGTTAAGTGTTATGTTACACTTGATTAGTTAGTACTTTTGACTCCAGTCTGTTTTCCATACAATTGCCCTATGTTTATAAACAAAACATGATTGCTTGGTTGAATTTTTAATTAGCTGAACGTCAAACAAGATGCTTGTCCATTTGAATGAGATGAAATAAATTTCTGGTTTTGGTTGAATTATGTGCATATTAATTACTTAATTTGCATATCTCAAGAACAGACCTCAGTGTGACTTTATATATAAATAGAATATTCAACAAACCTGATTAGCTCAGGATTGAAATATGTGCATATTAATTACCTAATTAACATATATTATATTGTTAATTATTCTAAATATTTAAATTAAGTTTGATCATAGACCCTCCAGTAGACTAGAGGGTCTATGGTTTGATACACAAGTGGTCTGGAATACTCAAACTTCTTTTTTGTTATTACATTTGTAGTTAATATTACAAACTTCTGTAGATCACTCTGCTTTAACATTGTGCATTTAATACGCAGAAGCTTCTTGTTAGTGGGCTAGTCTTAAATATTTCCTATATCCGATATTTTATGCTAATACCCTCAGCACATGGCTTTTCTTCTTTATCTTCTTTTAATTTTAATTATGTTATCTTTCAATCAAATTTGAGTCTGATATTTGAGGTTTTGAGTTTATCGCCATTTCCCACTTCCGTGGTTAACCCTCTGACTGCCAGATATTTTTTTCGCCCCAAATTCAATGCAAATATTTTCACATTTCTTAAAATTGTCACTAAATTCATCATCATTTTGTGCCATACAGACAATTTTAGGTATTGGTTTTAGGGTTTCATCAAAAGTTTGTCAATGTTTTTCAACATTTCATGTTGGGAGGGAGCAGAGAGTAGAAAATTATGTATTTTGTAGATGGTGCCAAAAGTTGACAATGGTACTCAAAAGGTCAAATGTGGCATTTTTGTATGACTTAAAAATTGTGTGTATTACTTGGTAGTAGTTTTTGCCAAATTTTATTATGTGTTCATGAACTTGAACGGCTAAGAGTATAGAACCATGGGCATTAAACACCTTTTTATGAGCACTGTAGATATTCTGATCAACTCTCAACCTTTTAAACAATCCAGGGTACAAATCCAGTTTTTTTCAGAACAATTTCATCTTTATAGTTTGAGGTTACCATGGATGCGGTTTGCAGTGAATTTATCATTTAAAAAAAAAAAAAAACATTTAGAAACTCCATGGTTAACATAAAATGATTGTAAATATATACTGTATTTTTTAAAATGTTATTTTTGCATGGTATACCATCAACACAACAAACCTGTTTCTACATCTGTATTAATATTTATAAATTTATTTATATATTTATAAATTTTAATGACATTTGAATCAAACCAGCCAATCAAAGAGCACAGAGCACAACGTACCCCGGTATTACTTGAAAAATGTCCCAATATTATTCAATCAGCAAATACAAACCTCTTGTTTCTATTTGATTTGTTTTAAATTTATAAAAAAAAAAGATAGATGAAGGGAGCAGGTTTGTTGTGCCAAGGGTATAGCAATTTATTTATATATATATAATTTTTACAGTCAACTGATGTATTATTTGATTTGTATGAAAAAAACTGAAATAACAAAGAACTACCGAAAACAAAAATTGCTTTCATTTGTGTAACTGTAACAAAGCTAGTGTACCCATATATGAGTTGTGTTCACGTTACACGAAGTACGGGCTAAGATTTAAGCTGATTTAGGCTTATCTAGCATATTTGCATTTCGGCTAGAACCAATTGCGTCCACGCACAGGGAGGGTCAGTCGTTAGCACGGGCTAAGGGGTGCCATTAGTCGGTGACCTTTGGTAAGCTGCTATTTACGAACGAAAAATGGATGACACGCGCGAGGTTCTATTTCTGCTGCTGGCATGTTTCGTTCTAATTTTGAAGTGACGTGCACAGGAACGCGAGAGAAGACGGACCCAACTTATTTGGATGCACAGAAACAGTATACAACGGGCGTAACAGAATACAGAGTTTTATTAATGCATGTCGCAGACAGCGAACCAAATTTATTTTGTCTACAATTGGAGCTGCTGTACGCTCTACTACAGCGACCCGATCAGTGTGGAAGCAAGCGCGGAGTAATGACTGGTGGAATAGAGTCGTTATACGAACATGGGACAATTTTCACACCCAAAGGTCGCCGCAGAGGGCGATTAGCCCTGGGCTCGCGCATACTTCGTTAGCCCGTGCTAAGGATCTAGACCGCGTCTTTAATTCGGATCAGATTTAACCCGTACTTAGCATTCCTTAGCCCGTGCTAAGCGTTCACACACGTTTTCTTAGCACGGGCTAAGGAATTTGACTCCGACCTTTAAACTACCCCCCCCCCCCCAATTCAATTGTGTGTGTCCCTCTGAATAATTATACATGTCCTTAAGCGGGGCATATACAATTAATTTGAGGGGGCAATAGAAGTTAGTGGTCAGGTTAAAATTAGGATTAGACCCCGCCTACATTGGAAAATTCGTTCTTATTAGTATTTATCCTTTCCATGTGGTACCCTATTCAACTGCAATTTTGGGGTGTCAACAAGTTGTAGATTTCTGATGTAACCCCCCCCCCCCCCAGCTTTAGCTGTCTGGAAATATTTACCTCCTATATAAATCAATCCTGTGTTACTGAATTAACTGAACGTTTTTTTAAAAAAAACAATGCTTAGAAGATTTTGTGTTGTGTCCCGAAAATGTGTAATACATTATTCCGGTAGTGACCACCCCTCCTGTAGTGAATGGTTGTCCCTAGATTCTTGCATAAATAATTGTTTTGGTGTTGTACCTTACCAGGTGATCATAATATAGTGAAAGTGTTACGATCGGCCTGAGAAAATTCACGCTGTCTCTCAACATGTCGACAAGGTATGGTGATTTTCACGGTCCGTTACTTAGCACCGTCCATCCGGTGGTCGTCAATCAGCGCTCTCGTGAGAGTCTTGCTGTTCATGTCTCATCCGAATGTTCAGCTTGGTCGACGCGCTCGGTACAGATAAATTACAGAGGCTGGTGGACACGTGCAAGACGCAGCTATTTTTCAAATATTTACTGACAATGCCCTTACGTGAAGTATGACAAGTATCAACATTAGCTCTATTTCTCTTGTTATTGCATTGTCCTCCATAACTCGGTTGATCAGTTATCCGTTGTCAGGTGACTCCGATCCACATTCCCGAAGACAAAGCCGAATTCGACGAAGCAGTTCGCGTAGTATGCATGGACGCTATTCCAGTTACACTTTCTTGTGATTTACGGCGGAATTTAACTACTGAGGGCGCATGTCGTACCCGCGGGAGGTGTCTTCCGCCGAAGTGATAATAAAACTAATGGGCCGAAGAGTTATAGTTTCTGTCACATTTTCTCGATGTTTGACATGTTTCAAGTATTTGCGGAGATAGGTGACCCACTTGTCACGAGGGCGTGGACCGTGGAGGAAACTGTATCGTCTTGTGTCATCTTCGACCTTGTTCTTAGGTATGGTTCAGTCCCGGGTCTGTTTTGTATTTCAATTGTTGCGCCCTCTGTCGGCATTCATGCGTTACTAAGTTGTTCCTGTGAGGGTCCTCACGTGCGCAGGAAAAAACTAAAAAATGAGAAGATTGTCACGTGAGCCAAGTATTCACATTTTCGGTGATATTCTCAGACCTAAAGTTTTACAGAAATTTGATGATAGATCTCGTCTCACTTATATGACTTTCTCGCAACGTCGTGTCATGTTGATTCACTGAACTGTTACGACTTGTTGAAGTGATAATCGTCTCGTGAAACATAAAAACAATAAACATGTTTCCCCGTTCTCGGTCATATTTCTACGTACAGTCAAACCACTTGTGCAATCGGTCGACACATTGGGTCTGATTCCATGCGTGTTGACTGTCATGGGAACTGGTAGATAACCCCTCGAATATAAATTTGACCGAATCATTGTTCACACCTTTATTGCGGTTGGGGGGGGGGGGTAAATGTATGACCGGTAGTTGCTAGGGAACAACACAAATCTGAAATATTCATATGAAACTGCCCGGGATGGGATGGGGGAGAAGAAGCATCTACCGTTAATGGTGTTGGGCACCGGGATCTAGGTTCAAGTAACGACAAAGATACACACTGTCCCACAACCACATCAATTAGCCTCATTGGACTCTCAGCGGAATTGGAATAGCGAGTGAAGGTTCTTGACCTCCACTAAGTGCCCGAAGGTAGTTGACCCACCGACGACATCGTATTTACAATCAAGGCGTTATATATGTGTGCAGTTACTCGTAGTGTTTTTTTGTTTTGTTTTTGTGAACTACTGTGTCAGACATTACTGTAACAGTGTTCTTTCTTCCGTTTTTTCTTCTTTATTTTTGCCGCACAAAATAGTATTAAGTAAACCGTACACGGTCAGGGTCGTTGCTTGGTAACGCTTCCCATTTATCTGTGGGGGAGCGACAGTTGAAAATTTAGAAAACAACTATGATTCACGCGATTTGTTGCTCGTAACGACGCACTCAGTAACGTGAAAATGGCTAATACGGATCTTTTCTGGAATATTTGTTCATATATTCTAAGATATAGCTATCATCTACACAGTTTAATGGAGTATATATTCATTGTTTGAACGCAGACAATATCAAGTTGGTGTTCTGAAACAATGAACTGTGCAAGTGCGCATGTGCTTTGAATTACTGTTACGTACTATTACTAGTAATTAC